AACAGAATCATGACTGTTTATTTTCTTCTGGTATTTATTTTTGAACGTTTCTTGGTTTGGTATTTATCTGAATGAACGCCTCTCCTCAGCGTTGTTGCGAATGACTGAAGCTGTGCGGTAGGTTTGAAGCCACCTGCCTGGTGGTAATTGTTTAGCTCTCGGCTGTTCGGTCCCTGCAGAGACAACAGGAAGTTACAGCCGGTAAACGAGCCAACGAGGAGCCGAGGAGGCTCATTAGCTCCATATTAATGCCAGATGCTGATGCTGACAGGAGCAGACACAAACTCCAGATTGGATCAGAAGCTTGTCCTAAACGGATTTGTTGGGTATGTTTGAAAATTGATGGAATGCCATTTGCAGAAGACGACTCTGGGTGTGGATGCAGTTCAAAGGGTAGGGTAATGTGATGGATGACTTGTGTTTGAGCATCAATTCCTCTGTTGGATTGAAAACCAATGAATCAGACAAATGTCAGACTGTTTTCGTGGATTTTAACCTGTGTTTAGAGATCCTTTCATGCAGCTTTTACAGCAGAGTGTCTCTGATGGACTTCGTCTGACAGTCATGTAAACACTGGAAACACTGCCTGTTTGTGAGCGTGACTGTCTTCTCCCTCGTACTATAACAATGTCAGCTTTGACCCTGGAATGAAAAGAACCAGCGAGAAGAAGGAAAAAGCCAAACCTTTCAGCAAAGCTAAAGCAAACCTGTCAGAGGATCCTCGTTTCCTCACCGTTTACGTTTAAAACAACACTGGAGCTAAGCTAAACAGGCTGTGAAGGAGAGGAAGGGGCAAAGGTCCCCTTGCACATCAGGAGTTACTGTATTTGGACACAAAGAGGATCTGTTAACAGTCAGCATCTCCATGGTCAACAGCCCCCCCCCCCCCCCCCCCCTACTATTTCCTCTCTTTGGTGTCAGGAAGTGCATTCATGCCTACAGAGGCTTTTCTCTGGTTGAGTAAATCCAACAAAATGTGTAAATATCAGATTTTTTTGACGGCTGAAAATCCTTGACGAGTTTGTGGAATCATCACCGTTAGAGCTACAATGGAAAATCTACCAAACAAATTAGCTGAAAACATCTCATTTCATGCCTCTTAACAACAATCTAACGTAGTGCAGCTAGATGGAGCTAAAAAAACAAAGTGGTTCATTTGTCTAAAAACCTCCACGCGGCTCGGACTCAAAGCAACTATCGGACTACCCGGTTGTCGATCTCGCCAAACCACCACACTTCCCTGGGTCCTCCACTCATTCAGCAACAGAACACCACTGGTGTGAGAGATTCTCCTCAATAACAAACAGCCGGCTGCCACCACTTGAACTTTAGGATAAACTACCAGAGTCCCAAAAAGCCGCATTGTGGGGGCCTGCTGCTGACTGCAGGTTAGATACCAGCTGCTCATGAACACGTCACATGACCCCACCTATGAGAATCTAAACAGAAAGGTGACGTCCAGTAAATAAGTCACGATCAGCAGTAACACATCTGGTTTTGATGCTTGGTGACAAACTGAAGCTTTCAATCGGAATTTCTTGTTCACGTTTGGGACTCATGAATAGACTTGACCAACTTCTCTAGGCTGAAAATCCTTTTGCATGCAGAAATGTGAGCACAAGAACATTCTCTGACATATAATAGATCAAAAGAGAGAAACCACCCTCCAGAATCTCATAAGCAGAAGCCCAGCCTTATCTATTCAGCTGTTTAGGACCTCTACAGAATGGATTTATGTTGTTTTTATCTTATGAAAAACCTTCCTAACTACCCTGAGGATTTCATAGCAAAGAAACGTCTGTCGATAAATTATTAGCATGTGTTTAAATTGGACGGGCTTTTTGAAAAATGATGATTTATAATATTAGCTGATTATAACACTAGGGCTATCGAGCCCAGCAGCTTCTAGGCTAATAACAGTCTACACCTCAGGTTACACCATCGGCCACTAGGCCAAAGAGCCAGGATCCACCAGCAAGCACCAACAACTGAACAAGACACAATACCAGCAACCGGCATCTGGCACTTTCACTGAGGTCCATCTCCAAAAGAACCACCATATCTCACACCACCACAACTTCTCTTGGAAAGTCTCAGCTACCACCAGGCCCCAGTAGCACCCAGCAGCAGCTACCATCAAGAAGTACGCAAACATTAACAATAGCAGCTAACCTGCAGCATCAAGTAACTCAACAGGCTGATAAACAAAACAAAGAAGCATGCCTAGAAACCAGAAGCATAGCAGTGCTGCCGCAGAAGATGAGCTAGAAGAGATAAAAGAGATCTCTTAACTTCATGTCTGAAAAGATTGCAACTGTTTCAAAGCAACAGAAACTTAAGTAAAGGAATTCAAGAGACAGCATGCAGGGAAGAACAAAAAGATTGCCCTCCTGGAATGCCATTATCATCAGTGGGCTGGACACTAGACCACCAACCTATGCCCGAGTGGTGACATCAGCAGGACCACAGGAGTATAATGAATCAGAGCAGGAGTCCCTTGAACAGCAAGTAATGACCTTCTTCAACACCAAAGGAATCTTAGTTAACAGCAATGACATTGAAGTATGCCATCCTCTCCCTCGGAAAAAGAAGAGTGATGCACCAATTATAATAATGAGATTTACAAACAGAAAACCAAAAAACGCTATCCTGAGACGAGGGAAAAAGCTGAAGGGAACAAATGTCTACTTAAACGAGCACCTCACCAAAAATAGCTCAGACATAGCCAGGGAGGCGCGACTTCTCGGAAAACAAAAGAAAATACAGTCAACCTGGACTGCCAACTGTAAGGCGTTTATTAAATTAAATGGTTCACCGGAGGAAGCAAAAGCGTTGGCTGTCAGAGAAATAGAAGACTTAGACGAATACCGCTAGATATGGGATAAATCAACAAGGTAACTAATCCACTTATAACTAAATGGACTTTCAGCCTAACAGTAATCTCATTAATCATGTAAATGCGCAGCAATACTGATAATTCACACAAAAAAAAAGACTATGCATGAACTATAACAAGATATTGATCCAGATAATAACTTTTTTGATCATCTAAACAACAGCTGCTTCTATTATATGGATGATCAGTTCAACAGTATACTTACCTCTGAGCAAGGTTTATCTATTATCCATTTTAACAGTAGAAGCCTACTGTAAATCCTCTAATATTAGCCTGTATTTAATTAACTGCCGGGTATCATATTTTGGCCGGTGTCGGAGTCGGCGGAGGTTAATAATGGCCGTTTTTTTATTGTGGCCGGGTGGACTGTGGTAATAAGCAAGTACGGGGGGCGGTTGTGTCATCCGTCTCACTTTTGATTTGCCAGAGATAGTCCGCGAGGGTAACTTTAACCGTGCGGAGACGAAGAGGAGGGGAAAATTTTATATCAAGTTCAAAGAGAACGTGCTGATTATGCTGCAGAACACTCTGGGGAGCAGTAGCAGGGGTTGTATGAACTAGTCACTAGTCGACTTCACTGCTCTATAGTGACTTTTTATACCTGTCATCGACTAGTCGCTGTCACGTGATAATGGCCGGCAAGATGCAGTCCTCGGAAAGACAGCAGCCTGCTGTCAGCAGGTGATGAGCTGTTGCGCGTCGGGAGGCAACGCGCTGTGCCAGAGCGTCGGTACCGACACCCGCCGTAAAACGGACATTTAACCAAATTGTGACCAATTTAACCTTCCCCTCACCCCATCCTAACCTTAACCAGCTTGTGCATGCAAAGCTCTGAATGTTGACGCGCTCCAGACATCTGCGTCCTGAGCACGGCCACAGTAACATTATCAAATCAGGTGTCGCCACCTCAAAAACTAATTTAACACGCGATCGTTCATGTCGGCTCATTTCCTTTTATGTTTTCTGTCTTTTATTCTTTTATTTGTGCCTGATGCGTTTCGCTGATGTGGATCGGGGCGCATCACCCGTTTTGTCCTCGGTGGCGCACCTAACTGATACGGCCGGCGCTCACTCCGCTGTTTTTGCGGTCGGTAGATCTTTTAGAACTGAAGCTCAAAGGTAACTCATAAGGTGAATATGTATGAACCCAGGTAGCAGTTTGTCTTTAGGATTGAGAGGAGATGCAGGAAGATAATAAACAGATACAGGACAGAAAAATAGTCAAATAAAAACAAGTTAGTTTTTGTACCTGCTGGTTGCAACAAACAGACACCATTGAAGGAAATCAGAAGTTAGGAACAGAAAATGAAATAATTATTTTAATGTTTAGAGCAGCAGGAACTCCAAGAGGCTGCAGGCGCATCAGTGAGTTTGCGGCCGCTGCGCAGGGGGAGAGGGCTGAAGCAGAAACTACCGTTGTTAAAAGAGATGTGTTTAACTTTGAAAATGTGGGCGCAATTTTGATAGTCAAAAACTCCAGCGAAGCATTCGTTCATTTTGCTCAAATAGAAATTGAGGCCTGCCTCTAATTCTGGTCCTCCTTCCAGTAAAGGCCTGGAGCTTGATGAGCTTGAGTGAAATACAGGCCCGGGCCTGTATTAGAGGATTTACAGTATATGCTAATCATGAAAATATTACAGAATATTTAAAACAGTTCCAAAAATCATTTGATGTCATAGCTGTATCAGAAACCTGGTTGAAACCTGAAAAAGGAATAGATTTTGATTTGGATGGATATATATTCAATTATATGAACAGGAAAAACAAGGTGGGAGGAGGGGTTGCGCTGTACATAAACAGAACTCTTTGTTGTGGAGTGGTGGAAAAGATGACATTCACAATTGATGATGTTATGTAATGTATAACTGTGGAGATAAATATGGAAAAACATAAAAATGTGGTAGTGAGTTGTGTGTACACGGCACCAGGATCTTGAATTACATTTTTATGAGTAATATGGAAAAGACATTAGCTCAAAATAATCAGGTCATGTTCCTCTGTGGAGACTTTAATATAGATCTGTTGAACTCCAACACAAAATGACAGAGGAATTTATAAATACAATGCTCAGTATGAGTTTCTATCCATTGATCACAAAACCCAGTAGAATAACTAAGCTTAACTTTAATTGACAATATATTTACCAACAATATGGAAAGCACATTAATCAGTGGACTAATGATAAATGACATCAGTGACCATTTGCCAGTGTTTACAATCTATGATTGTGAGTGTGAAAGGATAACGAAGACATACCAAAGGAAATATATCAGACCGACAACAGAAGAATCGATAGAAGCATTCAACAGTGATTTGCAAGCTCAAACCTGGTCACAACTGTATGATGAAACTAATGTCGACAGGGCATATAAATACTTCCTTAATGTATTTAAGTCACCTTATGATAAACATTGTCCAATAAATACATATAATATAATAAAAAATAAATAAAACCCAACAAACCGTGGATCACAAAGGGACTGTTAAATGCTTGTACAAAAACAAGAATATTCTCTATAAACAGCATTTAGCAAATAGAACGATAGAGGAAGAACAAAGGTACAAGAAATATAAAAATAAATGGACTACTGTAATGAGGGTATGTAGGAAAAAATATTATATAATTACTAAATGAAAATAAAACCAGTAGTAACGGCATATGGAAATTATTAATTGACATTATTAAGAAAAATAAGGCTAGTCATAATTATCCAGAATGTTTTACTGATGGAAATAGAGTTCCAAAAAACAAAAGTCAAGTGGTGAAATGGTTCAATGAGTTTTTTGTGAATATTGGACAAAGGCTGACACAAGAAATTGAAGAGAACCAGCCTAAAGATAGCAAAGCTATGGAAAACAATGTAGTAAAGAACTACCACTCAATGTTCCTTAGGGCCGTTAATACAAAACTGATGATAGATACGGTAAATATGTTTAAAAGTAAGAAATCCACTGATTGGAATGGAATAGATATGCTTATAGTCAAGAAAGTTATTAATAGTGTCGCAGATCCGCTGACCCATATCTGTAATCTCTCATTTTCATCTGGTGTATTCCCACAAAAAAGGAAAATAGCTAAAGTCATACCATCGTTTAAAGCAGGAGACAAACAACTTTTTACAAACTACAGGCCTGTATCATTATTGTACCAGTTTTCTAAAATACTCGAAAAATTATTTAAAAACAGGCTAGAAGAATTCATTGAACAATTTAATTTGCTGTCAGAAAGCCAGTATGGCTTCAAGAAAAATAGATCATCCACTGTAGCAGTAATGGAATTAATGGAAGAAGTCACAAATTGCGTGGATGAAAACAAACATGTTTTTTTTTATTGATCTCAGAAAAGCATTTGATACTATAGGCCATGACATACTATGAAAATGGAAATATATGGCATTAGAGGGGTGGTTTTGGATTGGTTAAAAATTTATATGGGAAATAGACAACACTTTGTTCAAATGGGAGATGTCATGTCCAACTGTCTCGACATAACTGTTGATGTACCACAAGGGTCAGTACTGGGCCCTAAGTTATTTATTATGCATATAAATGACTTAGTTATGGTTTCAAAAAAATTAAAAAATATTTTGTTTGCAGACGACACCAATGCTCTTTGTTCTGGGGAAAATATACTTCAATTATTGGGAGAAGTGAGGACTGAAATGAGTAAGTTGAAAGAATGGTTCAGCTTGAACAAATTATCATTAAACTTGGACAAGACCAAAGTCATCTTGTTCGGGAATTGAAGAGTGGACTCTGCGATAAAACGGATGTTAGAAAATGTAAGAATAGAGAGAGTTTATGAAACAAAATTTCTGGGGGTTATAATATTAGCTGGAAACCACATATTAAATATATACAAACAAAATTGGCAAAGAGCATTGGTTTTTTGGGTAAAATAAAACATTTACTGAATCAAGAATCATTGTATATTCTGTTTTCATCACTGGTAATGCCATACTTGAATTACTGTGTGGAAGTTTGGGGAAACACATACCTGAGTAATCTGCAATCACTATCCATAGCGCAAAAACGAGCAATAAGGACAGTATATAATGTGGGATATAGGGAACACACAACAGCACTGTTTTTAAAATTACAAGTGTTAAAATTTATTGATCTGATAAAGTTTAAAACCGCAGTAATCATGTTTAAGGCAATAAATAAATTACTTCCATGTAATATACAGAAAATGTTTAATGATAAACACGATGGGTACAATTTAAGAGGGGCATTAAACTTCAAAAACCAGAGTTCAGACAAGAAAGAGGAGTTTGTGTACAACAATATGTGGGATAGAATTATGGAACAATTTGAGTGAAGATTCAATAAAATGTGTAAAGGTAAATCAATTTAAGAAGAGCTACAAAAAACATCTATTGGATAATTATGTTGATGAGCTGGGTTAAATAGAATTATACAAGAAGTTGATTGCTGAGTATGTTTGATCTATTGTATTATTGTTATTTTTATATAGATATGTTTCTTAATTTTTAAATTTTGTTTTTGAGATAAGTTAAATAATAATAAGTGAGAAGGGGTTAGGAATGCACAAGTTTTACTGCTAACTACTCCTTTTCGGACTTTATTATTTGATTGCTTTTGTGTCGAGTTGTTTTGTATAAAAACTGTTTTTTGTACGTTAGTTCGAAATAAAGTACAAGTCAAGTATTTTTTTATGTGTCTCTGAGACTTTGTCTTTTAGATTTGAACATATTTACCTAAAAATTTCACATAAAACTGAGAAAAATGGACTGAAATGACTCATCTGTCTCTAAATAGAGAACCAGTGTTGGAATAGACACCAAAACGTTGAGGTACGGCAGTTCTTAAAGCGATAAATCAGAGCTTTAGGTGTGTGTTTCCATGGAAACATTCAAAATTTTACCTGTTGTAGCTCTCTGACCTGCATCAGTTTAGAGAAACCTTTATTAAACCACTCCCAACGCATTACTGCAACTTTAAAACAACTTCAAGCAAAAACATGTTTTGGAGGAGTTAGCATCAGCTAGCTGTAGCACTTCCGATACATCCCAAAACAGGAATTCTGTCTGGAATATCTTTAGATTTCAGCCAGAATAACCATTTAATTTAAAACTGACTGCAGTGTGAAGACTCTTTTAAAAGATATTTACATAAATTGCTATAATTTATTTGAGATTTCAGTTATTCAAACAGCAAATAACTTTGTCCTCAGCTCTGCTTGAACTAGCCATGAGCACATCAATCCAGTCAGAACTAACACGTGTCTCTAAACGGGGGTGTTGAATCTACATCCACAGAAGCTCACCTGCATGGAGAACACTCTCCCTTTAACATGAGGAATAAAGAGTGGATCATCACCACGGGCGTTTTTAGAGTGGTTTGGTTGATTTCTTGGCGGCTGTTTAATAGAGAAGCACCCATGCTAGTGCATGAAGTGAGGATTTGTACTGAAACAACATCCACACATTAAAATACCACTTGCATGAGCTAAAATGAGTAAGTTGATGTCTGGTCCAACTGATCTGCGGTGTAGAAACACCACAAAGCACCAAATTACCACCAAAGTATGGAAGAATGGTGCACAAATTACTGTTAATTTGATGCATGAGTGTAAAACCATCCACTTAAACCTCACTGTTCTTTGTTTACATGATTCTTTTGCAAAACAATTTACTCATAATAACTTCAGAACGATTTTCCTTTGCGCTTCTTCACACCGCTGAGCTGGAGACTTGGAGCCAGCCCGCCTCTGTGTAGGCCCCGGTCACATGCCAGTATAAGGCCCCCATCAGTTTGACCCACACCACCTGCACCTCGGCCGGGAAGTAGTCTGGGAAATCTTCAGACAAAACCTCCAGAATCACACCACACAAGATCTGGAATAATGAAAAGGAAAGTCATTTCATTTGAAAGGAAAAACACATTTCCATTCGGTTTGACAAATTAGGACAAAAATAATAGAATTTGGTTAATTATACAAGATTTTTCTTTATGTGATTTAAAGTTAAAGTCCTTTTAGTCATCATCACACACTGGTGAAATTCTTCCCTGCATTTGGCCCACGCCCATGGGGAGCAGTGAGCTGCAGCTGTGGCTGCGCTCGGGAACAATTTTGTGGTTTAACTCCCAGATCCAACCCCTCAAAACTGAGTGTGAAGCAGGGAGGCATTGGGTCCCATTTTACAGTCTTTGGTATGACCCGACTGGGATTTGAACCTCAATCTCCCAGCCCTGGGGCAGACCCTCTAAGCCACTGAGAAGGTAAAGAAAACTATTACTTTCAAACTTGTTTCAGTGGCTCTTGAGCCATGAAATTGAATTCCCATTAGACAGCACTCGGCTGATCAGAAACTGCACTTTACACTTATTGTAGGAACACTAGTGGAACGTCTCTACCTGCTGTATCCCAATAGCTGTTTACTGTGCCAGTAGCTAATATAATATAAAGGCTAGCAGTTAGCTATTTCAGTTTGCCAACTATCAATAAAAACCACAAGAAAATGAAAGAGAAGAAGGTAGCGTTTTTCACAGCCTGGAATTAAAAGGAAGAGATGTGGTCTACTGAGAGAGCGCAAAGCGGCTACAAAATCACAAACTGATACCTGCTTTTCCGCTGCTCCACTTGTTTATTTTGTCCAACAGTGTGGATCTATTCACGTCGTGGCTTATTTTAGTGTCAGTTGGTTTACTGCATTAGCTTATTGCTAGCATTAGCTATGGTAGGCAGGTTTTTTTTTTACTATATACATATATATGGGGAGAGAGAGAGAGAGAGAGAGAGAGAGAGAGAGAGAGAGAGAGAGAGAGAGAGAGAGAGAGAGAGAGAGAGAGAGAGAGAGAGAGAGAGAGAGAGAGAGAGAAGGATCATAGGCCACCCCAGCCACTAGGGGTCACTGGAGATTGCAGGGGGTCTCTACAATTTTGTCTTTGCTGAGGTTTTGAGGTTATAGAGATTCTATTTGTCAAAAAAAAAAAAAAAGATTTCTAAACTCCCTAAACTCCCTAAACCCTATAAACCCTACCCAGTTTTATAATCGAAACTAAGCGTTGTAGCACCAACACTAATTCAACCCCATTCTTAAGCCCTTTTGCACAACACGTTGTCGTGCAAATCAGCGTAATGTTATTGCAAAGGTGCGTCTTATAAGTGCACCATGCCAGCATGGTGATGTGCAAATTTTGCGGCATTGGTTCCACCTCGCTTAATTGTAATATTGCAGTAATTGTCTGTCTGACCACTTATAAACAACCTAAGGCTCCCTGATTTCACTCCAGCGTTGCAGCAAATTGACAGCACTATTTTGTAAAAACGGCTTTAGTCAATTTGGATTTTCTTTCTTCACTAAAAGATTATTTCTAAACACTTGAAGCCAAATTTAGAATAAAGACACTAAACCCATGAAATACAGGAAGAAGTTGAAGTTACCTTGAAGTAGATTGGCTCCACTTTGTGTTTGAGAGCGTGGGCCTTTCCTACCAGGGCCAGCACTGAGGACACCTTCTCTGGGTCATTCAGGTTCTCCACCACTGTGTTCAGGGCATTCATCACCCTGCAGGCATGTTGGCGAAGCTGGCTGTTTTGCTCCATCTCCTCTGGGTCATCCATGTCCCGAAACTGGCTGAAATACTGCTTTGCAGATGGAAAGTTGATGAAGAACCTGAACATAAAGATATATATATACATATTTAATATACGTTTTATTCTAACATTAAATCAAGCAAAGGGGGAGCTGCAGCATTGAGTCAGGAGAGGAAGTGGTTTTCAAAGGATGCTTTAAGAGGTTCTTGAGGATAGAGAACCCTCCTGCTAACATTTCATGCCACCAGAGTGAAATCACAAATTAAATCAGTCTGGACTGAGGTGCATGGATATAGCTTATAGGAGACACAGACAGCTTGACCACCTCAGAAAATTAATGCACTACTGGTTCACTTTCACAAGAAGAAGAGTTAAAATTAGAGATTTTTCTGTTACATAAATTACAATGAATCTCATACCGAACAGCCTTACAATAGCAATCAATCAATCAACCAACCAACCAACCAACCAACCAATCAATCAATCAATCAATCAATCAATCAATCAATCAATCAATCAATCAATCAATCAATCAATCATCAACCAATCAATCATCAATCAATCAATCAATCAATCAATCAAAGCTTTATTTGTAAATCGCCTTCCGCAACCCTGTCAGGAAGCCCAAAGCACTGAACATGGTTCAGTAGAAGGTAAATATATTGAATAAATCAAAAATAAAAGCAATTCAAATTACAAAAAATGGTGAAACATTCTGGTACAGGACAAATGTGTAAAACAATGGATTGAGTGAACCAATGAAAACTGTGAAATAAATTCAACATAAAAGAGGGCCAAAATCAAACACGTTCAGGAAACGCCAAGCGGAGGAGGTGTGTTTTTAGGCGACTCTTAAAGACTGGCAGAGATGGGGACAGCCTAACTGAGCATGGCAACTGGTTCCAGAGTGACGGTGCTAGGACTGAGAAAGCCCGGTCCCCGCGAGTACGACACCTAGAACGAGGGACAGCGAGCAGGCCTTGGTCAGAGGAGCGCAGAGCGCGTGATGGGCAATGTTTGTTCAGGAGCGTGGCTAGATAGGGGGGACCACCACCCTGGAAGAAATGATAAACAAAGACGAGGATTTTGAATTGTGAGCGATAGCAAACCGGAAGCCAGTGCAGGGAGGCCAGAACCGGACTGATGTGGTCCCGTTTCCTGGTCCCAGTCAGGAACCTGGCTGCGCTGTTCTGCACAACCTGTAGGCGACGCAGTGATGACTGACACAACCCTGCATAGAGAGAGTTGCAGTAGTCAAGCCTAGAAATTACAAAGGCATGCAGTACCCGCTCCAGGTGGGCTCTCGACAGAATATGCTTGATTTTTGCAAGGCGTCTCAGGTGAAAGAAACTGGACCGGATCACTGAGTTGATGTGAGCATCAAATTTAAGTCCAGCATCAAGTTTCACCCCCAAACTGGTAACAACTGGTTTTGAGTAGGGAGAAAGTGGGCCAAGATCAACATAACAACCCACTTTCCTGCTGTTGGGGTGAAAAACAATGAGCTCTGTCTTTTCCTCATTCAGATGTAGAACGTTGGCCATTAGCCAAGACTTCACCTCGTTAAGACAGGACAGCGACCTGGAACTCCTCGCTTCATATTGAAAACGTTACAAGATTTCATCAAAAGAACAACAAATAAGTGTCATGGGCCGGGGTGAGTGCTGCTCTCATTTTTGTTCCATTTTTGAGCTGCTGTGTTTCAGGAGAGGGAGGCTCCAGCTGCAGCTCATTAACAATCAGCGGGTCCAGCTATAAGAGGAGGAGGAGAACACATCTCGACGCCGGATGATTAACTGCAACTTGGTAGTTCCAGCCCTTTGTGTCTCCAGGTTAACTCTAGTGATTTTTGGATTTTAGAACCCTTGTGGATATACTTGTGCTTACCTGTTCCCAGGATTCTTGGATCGTTTGTGGACCTTACCTTGACTCCTCAGGATCTCCTTGGACTTCTGAAGCTTCTGGAGCTTCTCTGGTTTTCCTGTGGCTCCTCTGATTGACTACTTGGACATTTCCACGATCTCGCTGGATTACTCACCTGTGCCCCATAAATCTCCTGGGCGCAGCATTCACCGTTCTCCTCTCGTCCCTGCCGGCCCGCTCTCCTCGCACCCCCTCTCCTGGACACCCCCTCTTGGATTCACCCCGGCACTCCACCTACCCTCCCCAATTCCTCAGCCCCCAGCTTCCCGTAAGTCTTTACTCTGCACCTTCCTAGTTTAGACTTACCTCCCTGGACTCACCTGTTCCTCTGCTCTCCCCTCCTCAAACACTGCGGTTCTGTTGCAATCCCCACTGGACCTTATCCAGTGCGCCCTCAGTTCCTGTTTTTTTAAATAAAACTCTTTTATTTTTCTAATTGACTCGTGAGTGGTGATTTCTGCATGTCTTGGGTTAAACTCGTCCCCAAAACCATGTCAACCATGTCAATAAGAGCTCCTAAACTTCTTCGTTTGCCCCCAGAAGACAGGGTATTTGGAGACAGCTGCAGCACAGCAGAGAGGGAGGAGAAGAACAAACTCTGAATCTTCGGTAAAGCCTTCTTTCCACCAAACATGAAAGCATTGTGTAGCATAATAGGGGTGCTTTACCTGCAAGCTCCCTTCCAACTGAGAGCAAAACGGGAGCAAAAGCATTTCACGCCACTGGTCAAAAATCACGGGAGGATTGCAACACCACACATGATTTCAGAAGTCCACACAATAGCAAGCAAGGAGAAAAACTGCTGCATGGATCCAAAATGTCTGTGGTTTATTTTCTGTTCTGTTTACATCGGCTACGAGCATTTCACAGGAAATTATGTACGTGGATCTACACGTGACTTTTATTTTGAAAGTTTACAGATGTTTTACACTGCCCTTTTACCCTTTGCTTCTGGGACGCATCCAAAACATTACACTTTGCTGCCGGTGGAAAGAAACCCGTCCATTTTTACAGCGGATAATTGCGGCAAAGCACATTTCGTGGCCTTTTTGCAATGCTTTCACGTCCGGTGGAAAGTAAGGGTACGTTTTGTAGACATCTGATCGACGGGAACGGCAAGAAAATCTGAAGACCCAAATTATGCAAACATGTCAGCGAGAGAGATGTGAGTTTGTTAAAGATTTAACTGGATGTGCAGAAGAAGATGTTCTACTATATATATCAAATAATAAAGGAAAGCCTGTTCAGGCCAAGAGTTGTCATAAAAAATCTCCTGTTAATTCTATGTTAGCTATGAGTTCTATAATCGGTGTGAAATGCAGAGCAGAGTGGCTTATCTTTTAGTTTTACTGATTAATTCTGACCCTTGACCTTGTACAGATGAACAATTAAAGGTGTGGTTCACTAAAAAAACATTTTTTAATAATTTCTAAATATAGTCTGTCTCAGTTTTTCCTGCAAGCTGGCCATAAAAATAGTCTTCTAAGCCTATCTTCTGCATTAGCTTGTGATGGACCACATCTACGTAACTTATAACATTCATGATCTCAGAAGTGGACTGAACATCCCAGAACGGCTGGTGTGCCGGAGGGCAGGTGGATGTGAGGACTTATTAAAGAGTGAACCACAGTTTAAAATATTCCATCTGTGAACTCCTGGTTTAAAAAGCCAGTCGTTGGCATTATTGGTGCTATTTTCCTCCTCATTAAATAAAGTCTTTGATGGATTAAAACGACATGGATCTTCACATTACAAGAACTTAAGCACTGAAAACCATCAAACTTGTTCTTGTTTCGTTGTTGTTCCCGCACGTCCCCAAGCCCAACTCTTAACGAGTGTTTTCCTCTCTTTTCTGAAAGTGAGGTTCAGTAACACGCGTGCGCTTTTTCCTGTCATTCAAGAGTGTAATTTGGCTCAGCACCATGAGTTTAGCAGGAAGTTACCAGCAGGGACATTTAAAGTGCAGAAGCGCTGATGAGACTTGGTGGTTAGGATTGATCTGACTCTCAGAGCGTAATTGGATGCAGGTGTGTTGAAAGTGGTGCCTAATTTTCCTGCATTTTTAGTGCTGTGTGTGTGTGTGTGTGTGTGTGTGTGTGTGTGTGTGTGTGTGTGTGTGTGTGTGTGTGTGTGTGTGTGTGTGTGTGTATTTGTGTTAAACTGGCTGGCAGCTATTAGGCATAGGAAGGGATGTAAAGTGCTTTCATTTTCACAATGTTGTTACTGAAAGGAAATTAATTCCACAGGAACAAGTAACTGTTAGCCTTTTCTACAGAAATGTCACGGCAAGGCTGAAACAATTATTGCTTCGTTTTTTTTGCGCAAACTTGCAAATTACAGAACATGAGCGCATTGCAATTATTAAAATAAATGTGTGTTCATTTCTATGTTTACAAAACTGTGCAAAGACGCAGTTTAGACGTCTTACAGAAGTGGTCTGGATCGACGGACTCAATATAGACAGGATCTGCACGTCCATGCAACGTTGATTGTTTGCAGGGAAGGGAACAGGTTATCTGACAGGTCACAGATTAGCCTGCAAACAGTTGTCCGATCTATTTTGGCCTAGTCCACACGTAGCCAGGTAGTTTTTAAAAACTAATATCCACCCCTCCAAAAACTTGCATCCACACCACCTCGTTTTAAAAAAAAAACTCTGTCCACACGTACCTGGATAAATACGTTGTTAAGGACATGCCAGACCTGTAGGTGGCAGTACTTCCCCGTTCTTAACCTCGTCCTTCGTCTGTGGTCTTCCGCAAGGAGCAGTAATTCCGCTTGCAAAAACAAACAAGCAAAAAGCGCTTGGACAATTGATAAAGCGAGCTAAGCTCTGAGGGCATCCATGCTGTCGGCTAGTGTAAACACAGGTCGCACACGTGATGTCAGCATTTTTTTGTCGCGGAAAGTGACGTTGCGGACCTTAAAACTCCGGTTTTGTCTGTCTACACGCAGACACCCAAAACGGAGAAAACGCAGATCTTCACTTTGGCCGGAGTTTTTTAAAAAATCCGTTTTCGTGTGAAAAACTCCGTTTTCATGTGGATGACAGGCCAAAACGTAGAAAAATATCTACGTTTTGGCAGATCCCCGGCTACGTGTGGACAGGGCCTTTATAAACCCTGTTTTAAACAACAGCTGTTGCTTGTGAACACT